CAATGTTCCACGCAAGTAGACTATTCTGTAACGAAAAAATCCAAAACTATGTAAGCACATTTTTTTTCCTTATTTGTTCTGTTTTCTGATGTGGACGAAATTACATATGAAATATCCAAGAATAATGATTTGTGTTATTTTGTTGCAAATTAAAAATATTATTCGTGGGTACTTAAAACTTTTTAAGTATACTACTATATTTTATACACACAATGACTTGTCAAATGTATTTTTTTTTTTGGCCAAAATTAATTTAATCTACTGTAGTAGTAATGCTTACTAGTAAAACGAATTAATTTGATTACAATAATATCATCAAATATACTAAATTACTGAGTAACAATATAGACTGACTGACAGTCTTCGCTCAGAATCGTTTTTCATATAAAACGATTGTAAATCATTAAATTCAAATTTAACACCACCCATTATGGGAACCCACTTGTAATCTAAGTACTGTACAGCAGAGCGACATCCACCAGATTTTTTGAAGTATGTCCCGGTTTTGACTAGTTATAATGATCGGGTAACCATAGACTTAAAAGTAACTTAACTTAAACTTTGTGACAGCCTTGAAATATATATTTGTATGCACCAACATTTTCTAAGATGTTTTAAATAAATAAATAATTTGAAGAACAAAAGGGAGCAGTTCCCTTTTGCAAAACAAAAGTTTGTATCACAGGGCACAAAAAACCTCGAGAAAGTATTCGATAAAATAACATAATTATTTTTTAAGACGTATTCTTATGCAATTAAAAATTACAAAAATCAACTGATTTGAATAACCGCAGCTGCATTATTGGAGAACAAAAAATTGTTGAGAGCATGATCAGTGAATCACTCTGTATACCGAGCTATTGAATAATATAGTCCGCGGGCGTGGTGACACGTTCTCTAGGTATTACAGCTAATATGACGTGTTCGTGACATATTTTCTTATGAACTTAATGAAAAAAAAAAACAAACCGCAGAAGGTTTCGTAGCCAAATTGCATACCTATTTATTATATATTATTATTATGTAGGTACTCTTGACGAATGCAGTAAATTTATTATTACGCATATTATACCAATTTTATTTACCGACACGCCACGAATTATTATAGTTATGACGAATACGGTTTATTAAATCCTTTTAATCGCGATGATTTTGGCTTTTATTCATATTATATTAGGTATGTTTTCACAGCACTGTCAACACTACTGCAGCAATCGATATGATATCATAAATAAGTACAAGTAGGCTGCGTTTTTAGATAGCTCGTGCATTTTTAAAATTGAATAATCAAATGTGAAGTACCTATGCCTACCAAATATCAACAATTATTGATAGCGTGTACTGTAATTTTGATACTCATAAGCTAGGGTTAGGCTGTTTGTGCACTGTCAAATTAATAAATACGTATGCAGTTATGGACCAAAAAAATAGCTGCTAAATATGAGTGAAATAATTGAAAAATAATTTGCGCTAAACATTTTTTAAGTTTTTATTATTTGATGAAAACATTATTTTCAAATTCTCGGGATTCTTTTTAGAAAAATGGGCCACGTGTTGTTTAGCACCTTTTTGCTGTATGTTATGCAAGAAAAATTTATATTCATTAATTTATAAGCTTATATACATTCAGCATATGTTTACAGTTTATTTTTGAACACCACCAAATTGCGACTTCGTGCCCATTTTCAATGTTTTTAATTCGCTCTTAAAAACATCGAATACCTCGGTGAAAATAATATGTGAAGCAAATATCTTATGTTAAGCAATCTTCAAGTTTTATTACTGATGAACGATGTTGTATCAAACATAATAGTTAATATGACTAATAAAAAGAAAAAAAGTCTTAAGTTGCAGATGTTTGTAAAAAACTCATATACTACAAAAATATTTTGAACCTTTTAATCACATCATTAATCGTATATTGAAACATTTGTTAAATATCTCGAGTATCTACGATTATTTGATTTTGAATTTCAATAAAAAAAAAAAAACGATCGATTTTTTTCAAAAACTAATTTTGAGTAAAACTATTCGTTTTTATATTTTTTTTTTTTTTTGCAGTTTGTTTCAAATACTTATTATTACATTTTTTAATTGAAAATATTAAATACAAAATTCGTTAACACTTGTAAATTTTGATTTTTGGTTTTTCTACTATTTTTTCATCTCATAAATGGCTTTTAGTCGACAAGACGACCCTGTACGGTACTTATAAATTTTGTTATCGACGACGGTAATTGTAAATATTTGACAAACAATCAACCACATAACGGAGAAAATAATTTTTGTATAAAAATGTAAGTATTCAATACATTTTTATAGATTTGTGTTTGTATTTAAACCAGTATTAGTTGAAGTACTTAAATACCTATTTAAAATACGAAAGAAAATTTATCAGAACACCTTTATGAAATCCTAATCCAAATAGATGCAACCAACAAAGTAATTAATTTTTAAAAAATACAAAATTATATAAACTAATATGCTTATAGGTAGTAATAAATTTGAAAAATATAAGTTGTAATAAAAAAAAAAATGTAAATATACTATAAGCTAGATAAACTTTTTTGTAATCATAAGAACTATATAGGTTTATACCTATATATGTTAATTCGACTAGACAATACCTAATAAATAGAGCAGTCATGCAAAACTTTACTAAATTTAAAATAAACATAAACATAATTCAAAAATGTGTCTACTCTAATACTCTACTAAAACCAAGTAACTGTGTATCAATCACCGATCACCCATTGGCCATTGTCTATAACAAAAAATAATACTAAATATTAATAATTAGTTTCCAAAAACATACATATCTTTTTTATAGTAATTTATGAAGGGCTGACATAATTTGATACATTTATCAAATATTTGTATTATTGTTTTTTATACATTTTATAATTTTATCAAAACCATAACAATTCGCAAATTGTATTTATTTTTAAAAAATTTAAGCCAAGATACCTCATACGTTTTTTATATCAATTCAAAAATACATTTTTTTTATATCGAATGATAATCATGAAGAATTGAAATAAAATAATTATTGTTATTTTGTTAATACTTAACCATTATAAACGTAAACCAAAGAGAGATGACCGATAATGATGATACGACAATTTGTAACGACATCACTCGTGCAAATAGAGTTAAGAATCTTTATTATTTCCTGGAAAACAAAAATGGCAGAGCTGTGTTACATCCTTTGGCTTGACTTAAGGTAATGACTTAACACATTCGGCAGTCATCAGACAATTTGGATTTACCACTCAAAACACAATATAATATAATGTAGATAACTCTCAACTCTCGAGTATCTATCAGAAAAAGTGTATTTATCTCCACATTTATTATTCAATAGTCCCTTAATAGAACCCTTAAAAGTTTAATATAGTGTCGTCAGAAAATTGAAACAACTTCCAATTTTTATTTTTTTTTTTTTTGAAGTTCGGTTCGAATCGGTTTTTTACAACTAAGGTTGACTATCATACTCGAACTGAACACCTTTAGTTCGGTTCAATTTTTCGAACTTTGAACAGTTCGACCCACTCCAAGTGTACCTATAGGTACTACGTTCGTCATGATTCAAAAATAAAAAATATTGACTTTTATAACGTAAAATACGTACACAAGATCGGCGCATGTATTTTCGTCTACCTATCGCCGTTCATTTGTGTTGGCCACTGTTGCGTGTCCATGTGAAATTGATTAGCAGCCAACCGCCACTATAATACGCCAGGCGAACGAATTATTAATAATAAAAATGCATTATTGCCAATGAATTAAGTACCTGTCAATTTTTTGTATTCTTATACCTCTCGGCTCTCGGTTTTCAATACTACAGTATAATTCATATTATACGAAACCGTCGTCGTATTATATTGTGCAACCGCAACTTTTATAATTATACAGTATGTACGCCATTTGTGTTGCAGTTTACAAATTATACACTAAAACTATTCATTGACTTTAGAGGTAGTCTTAGAACTCGAAAAATTTTAACTGTAGGCAGAGCAGGTAGTTTATGAATAATAATATATATGATTATATGACGTTTGTAAGCGGGTAAGTACCATTCGTGTTTTGGGTTGGTGGATCGTAAGTTTGAGGTGAGCTGTGTTGTATTTTGCGAGTTGATTGCAACTGATCTGGACTATTTTATTACTAAACGTTTTTAATCATAATAAGGCACCGTCTTATCAAATATTCAAATCTACAGTTGTAAACGTCCAAGTCAAAATAAAAAAATAATACGTATGGGTACATTTTATTTAGTATTATATGTATCTATAAATACGTTTTCAATTTATAAGATACATAGTATAGGTAATAATAATATAAAAGTATGATGAAAATAAAAATATGCTATTTTATTTATTATTATTATTATTTTTTTTTTTGATTCTGAACAGTAAACACGGATTCTTCAATGCCGAAGGTGGATTCTGAATGTAAATTGGATCTAGCTTGCAGTTTGTGCTTGTTAAGGTTAAAAAATATCCACAAACTTTTTTAAGTAATTGGAAAATACTGCTAACAAAATACGGAACAACGGGAATATTTATGCAACAGCAATTTTTAACAGTTTTGACAATTTTGATCAGATTTGATTTTCTCATTGTAATTAAAAAACAAATAATTGTATATATTTTAAGTTTTTAATAAATATTGACATATAGTATAATATTTAGAAAAAAATCGAGTCTTGAACACTGTTCCCTGACAAATCATATTATAATAGGTACCAATACAAATAATTAATAATATTTTTGATTATTAGGTACATCATAAACTAGTTCCAATCATAATAATAATATATTCTACTTCATTCACTTTTAATTGAAGTCCGCTTCCCATTCCTTGCCCACTGTACACGGACTTATAGTGAAACATTTAACGTGTTAGAATTTTTTGGGGGTCGGTTAATTTTTTTTTAAAACTAAATTCGATTTTTTGAGCACTGAACAGTTCGAAGCACCACAATTTACAACCTGTTATGTTGTTGATAAAATTATTTATTTATTTTATTTAAAGTTTAAACGTAAAAATGTAGTACAGTTTTACAGCAGTGTTCTTATTTTAATAGGCCGGTACCATTATATTATAAGTTAATTAGTCACTGGCACACCACCGGTTGTCGAATTATCGATACGACATTCATTTGTGCCTCGACGAATTTTGAAAAGACCGTTGTCTCCCCACTGTGCGTTCCACGAGTTGACCATCAACCAATACGGAGTTCCTTCTTCAACACCCCAACCGATCAACTTCACTGCGTGTCCTCCCAAGTACGAGGCGTTTTCGGTCTTCACGTAAACGCCTAAAACCAGTAAAACCCATAGTCAAGTAAGGGCAAGTTAAGATTAAAGGTCCAGTTACAAAGACATAATTAAAACTATTATTATTCGTTATGTGTCATTCAAACAAAATGTTATAAATATAAAAATGACTGATAAGATTTCTCCTAGCATTTACCCGACTTGTAACTGGGGAAATCGTCGTACACATCGAACGATGCTTCGATTGGTCCGTGAGTCATGACGTCCTTTTGGATGCTGCCGTAAGTCAGGCGGTAGTAGTCGCGTGCTACAATCGTAATTCAATCACATATTTCAAACAAATACTTCGACTGAAAATCGTAAACATTTTCAAAATAGTTCATACTGTATCTGTGATCGTCGTCATAATCGAGGTCCTGATTTCCATAGCACATTCTCGTACATCTGTGATTTTTTTCCCTTGGTTTACCAGCGCACGTGTTTTTCCCTTGTTCGTCTCGAGGGCACGGTGGAACTCGGTATGGCTCGCATCCCTGCAATACGTATACACATTACGCAACGATCATACAATAATAATTTTAGGTATTTACTGGAGACCAAAATGTCGGCAAAAAAAGGATTCCTAAAAAAAAACCTGAAAAACCAAGAATAATTTTAGAATATTCGGTACGTTTGCAAAATAAATGTTTAGGTAATGGAGAAACCTTTTTTTTTCAGCTTGGGTGCTTTTATGTTAAGAGGTGATAGCAATAAGTAAAATTTGGAATAAAAATATAACGCTTGGTTTAAGTTTAGAATTTTCAACAGTTTAATTTAAATTTGCTCTTTGAGGGACCGTTCAAAAGGCTTTCTCGTTGCTTGTTAAATAAAATTCAAATTCTCAAGCATACTTAAAAACATATTTATAAACTATAATATTATACTCTGCAAAGCCTTATTATAACAATTAGGTACGTGGCAAGTGCAGTGCAAGTCCTCTGTTATACCGTGTACAACTGTACAGGTCATATATATATTATATAGCTTAGTATAATATTTAATAATAAATAATATTTGTACATAATTATGCATTAGAACTATTATTACCGTGCAACATAATATTATTATTTATTGACATGTGTGATACAACATTTTAGTATCTAAACATAAATACTAGATACTAGACTTTGTACTTGATTTTTTCTGTTATGTCGGTGTTGGAATACACCTCATTCTCTGTTAAGTTAGGTTAACATTCATCATAAACCATTGTCAATTAAACTCTGCAATAATGCTACACACTGCGCACGGAATATAGATGATACATTCATTTTTCTCCACAACGATATAATATATTAATACCTCTCCAGATTTATAATTTCCTCCGGTGACCAACCCGTGTTTACTGAAATATTTCCAGGCTTTCAACGGGTTGCCTCCGTTACAACCATGTCCGCACGTGTGACAGCAAAACGTTATCTCTTCGGCGGACAGCAGTTCGTTGAAATCTCCGTCAGTGGCCACGCACAAACGATCGGCGAACGCTGAGCTGGTTCCAAATGCCTATAATCAGAATAACATGACGTTAAATCAATTTCACGATTTCGATACGACGACGCGTGCCCGCCGTTAATCGCACCCAGCAGGAACCGCAATGTCCTTGGTCCCGAACTTCTCCAATTGTCTTGCAATGTCTCCACATCTTCCTGGCGTCGAATGTCCGCGGAGTATAGCCGTAAAATTTGTCGTAAGCGACGTCGTCCGTTTTGAACTCATTTGCACTCGCTTTCATGGCAGATTCCACCCCCGTAGATCCCAACAGCTTAACTATGTCCTCCTCTGGTGTACTCGGGTCGAAATTAACACCAGCCTAGTAATCGTGAATCGAACGAAAAACAGTTAGCATTGATCATAAATAATAATATAATACCCTTATTGTATAATATATTATTTGTTCTGATAATTGCACTGGATTTTATCGAATCCCAGATTTTTATATGAAAATGTGAGTGCTATAATGTGGTATATAATATACAATACACAATTTAATACTATATTAAAATGTGCATTCAATAAATACAACGCGATTGCTATTAGGCCGCCTTCTCCGTCTTTTCTTATACGATATCCAGAATTTCGTTTGGCACCCCTTTGTAATGCAGTTAACAATTATATCTTTATTCCAACAACAAGTGACACAGATTAACTCAAATTATATATAGACAATAGCCATAATATTGATATCATATCCTAATGAAGTATCGTAGTTTTCCTTGAAATTGTTGTTTTTATTTTTTCTCGATCGTCAACAATTTGTATAATATATTTCAAATCAATAAAATATACTTTTACACACATAATTATATTTTTAATGAAGTTCTTTGAACTCATCGAGTATTTCATTTATTTTTGTCAATTTTTTTTTAGAATGAGTATCTTCTTTTAATGATTAAGTTCTTCAATTTCAAGAAAACTAGACATAACAAATACTCGAATCAACGAAGCATAACTAGTGTTATGGATTATTTAAATATCTTTCTCGAATTATTTGCATTGAATTTTTTTTTTGTATTGAAAAGAATATTTGTAATTCATGAAACAAGGTATAAAAAGCTAATTTCAGCATTATAATTTATACATTTAAACAAATTATAATGACTGATGTGAGAAGGGAGGACATCCAAAGATAGAACCCAGTCATAGATAGAGTTTAAACATATTTTTATGTTAACTACATTTTATAATAATTTTAACTATTTATTTTTACAGTATACGTTGTAGTATCGATCTGTTAATTAGTATTTGATTGATTCATAAAATATAATATAATAAAGAAATACATTTATTTATATATGTGACTTGGTGAGGTTCGGTAGTACACTCAATCTGCGGCAACAAACTTACAACCCGTCGTTGCTAGCACTCGGATGGGTGACCACCCGGGCTTTTAGCAACACATCCTTGCCACACATACAAATACGTGGTTAAAATCAACTATTTCCCCCTACCAACAGCTAATGATCAAAGTTGCAAGGGCTTTTATAGATCAATCAAAAAAAAAATATATTACTATAAGTACTCTTAATGGTAAAATGATGTAGTTCATTTTTTTTAAATTTATCGATAATTTAACACTATTAATATTTAATTATTATAATAGCACATTTTATAGTTTATACAGACAGTGACAGTGTGTTCAGTGCAGAAAAAATTATAGTAATTCGTGAAATAAAATTAACGGTAATTATTTCATAAAGTATTCGGTGTCAGTGGATGATATTTTGAAGTTACCATTTCTTTGTAGAAAAGGCGTAGGTATATTATTATTGACACAAAATTGAGGGTCTAGACGACTGTGGTAATGTTGAAGAGAGGATAAGTTCATGAGCAAAGGCATGAAGTGCTCAAGACTAAATGGCACTACATCGTCTTTTATATTATTTATAAATGACTAAACTAAACTAAAATGTATACTACGTATACTTATATTATTAAATATTATCATAATTATTCATTATTATCATTATTATATTGTAAAATTACCTTCCAGGTACTCGCGACTTCGTTGATCGTGTCGATGTAACTTTTCTGCAGGAAATACGCTTGTTCAGTCTGATACACGCTGAATAATACGATGGACAGCAGAATTACGAGTCGAGCCATTATTACGGTTTAGCTGGAAAATAATCCTAAAAGAAGAGAATAAACTAAAAAGCATCCGCTGCAGCAGTTAAAACAGTAACTAGTGATTTTAAAGTGCCCTGCAATGGCCGACTATTTATACCGTCCGAATATCATGTCAAGAAGGTACCTAATTATTTGAAATTTTTAGATATTGTTTAGTTTTTGAAGCTCTTACAGATTATCGAGTGTCCGGTAAATAACAAAAACTGTTATCAAATAATAGTCAAATATTTAATTTAATATAATAATAAATAATATAAAATGTTACATAACTAAATAACTATTTTACATAGGTATCTTTTTAGATTTTGTGTCGTCTTAACACTTAACATTTATTCTTGATTATGTTTGCACTAATATATCAATAACTAATATCAGACTGTAATATTCAGAAATCACCTCAAAAATGTTATGTAATGATCCAATTGACATAAGTATTACAGACTACAGTTGTTTGTTTTTAGTTATCGAGTTTCAATAATATTTTAATTACAATTAAATAATTTGTATGAAATTTAAGTGCTGGCGATAACCACCTTAAAGCAGTATGGATATTTTTATAGAAAATATAAGCAAGAAAAATAATATAGATAACAAATTATATATATTTTATTATATAAATTATATTATGGACTAAATTTCAAGTGTTAAAACGACTTCAAATTTAAAAAAATACCTGAGTATAAAGTAATAGTGTGTTTTATTTTCTTCAACAAAATTTTTTCTGGTAGAAAGGTAAATTTAGTCATTACTTTAGGAAATGTATATAATAATTCTCAAAAGTTTTTATAAGCATGATTAAAAAGAACAAAAAATTAAGTAAAATCTGAGATTTTTACTCTGAACCAGTATATTAAAATATTGATTTTATTTTTTTATTTAAACTCGGAAATAACAATAGATACACGAATGACATGATTTTCACTGAATATTTATATTACCCTAAGCACCATCCAATCTTCGAAGTATTGTGATTATTTAAAAAAAAATTAAAGGCATAAAAAAATTAAAAGTTTCATTAGTTTTTTTACACCTTTCATAAATAAAAAACGTGTTCGTTCGTTCAGAAAACTTAACAATTCGATGTTCCTTATACATTTTTCTTAATGGAAATTTTAAAAAAAGTTGAGAGTAAATTTTCAATTATTTTTATGAGCGTCTGAAGTTAAAATTTTAATAAAATTTATCGAAATAAAAACATTGTCAAATTATTTAGAATTAAGAACTCATACATCTTAAACGTGTTTCTTGGTTAAATTTTAAATTTAATCCAGCTATCAACTGATCTAATGTTTGAAAAACATGGCCATCTAATGCACAAAAAAAAAGATTTTAAATTTTTCTCCTTGAACTTTGTCTGAACTCCTGTTATAGGTACGTTCAGATACAGTTGCAACACCGTCAAAACAAGTAGAAATAACATTTTTACCATTTTATTTATAATTTTCAATTAATTACATTCAAAGCATTAAATATAATTGTGGCATCAACTGTCACCATTCTCTTCGTTCATACAAGTTGTTCCATTGGTCCGTTTTTGAATTTATCCAAATATCTAATTACAACAGATAATTGTTCATTAAGACCGACACGTCACTATAGTCTCATCAACCATTATTGACACTTTTTCATTTATTAACGCAACTCTTAACCATCGTAAACCGTAAAATTTTGAAAGAAGCGCGGCGTGGTTGATGTTGGACATAATTTGATATATGCATAGCAATAGCTACATCCATAGTATATGATCTAAGATATTATAATATTATCATCTTTACTTGTAAGTCCGCGTATATTAAAGCAACAAATTTCGTATTGAAAAAAAGATAAAAATATATTTTTTTAGAGTTAGGAACCCAAGTTTCAAGGAACTATATATTAATATAACACGTACGGTCCGCAGCAGGGGCAGTTGCCTACTCTGCTCTCCCCCTTTAATACCTCATATGTAAGTACACGAATCAACTTTTCCCATAAAAATGTAACATAATATTACATACATCTAAAATACAGTTCTGTTCAAAACTCCAATCGTAAATTAGAAATTTAATAAAATCCAAAAAATGTCTTATATTTCATCGTTAACGTAAAAAAAAGTTTTAACCTTTTTATTGAATTAAAAACACCTTATTCTAAAGAAGATTATTTTTCAATCGACGCTATTCAAATAAATTAATTATATAGGAACATTGATCAGTAAGTAGAAACTAACCAATTAACTCAGGGAAATATTTTTTTTACCTTCATGTAATAAAAATATATTATTAATTATTATATTATCTTATCTATATAATGCGTCAAAACTGATGTACCGCCGTGATAAGAGCGCTGAGAATATGTTCGTTGCAAAAATAGGTTAAAATATTATTTTATTTATAAAATGGTGGTAAATACAAACTAGTAAATTAAATTATTAATATTTTTCGAATTACAGAACAATAACTGTATAATAAACATTTTTTTTTAATTGCCAGTTAAATTACTTTTGAAGAATATTGCTTGTATATTTAAATAAATAACTATTAATGTTGGAAACTAAAATAGTTCATGTGGTACACATACTATTTTTTATCACGCCTCTGCGTTTACCGATAACGGCAATGGTAATGCAGGTACCTATGCAACAACCAGACCATTCAACGAAAACAAGTACATACGAGAAAAATGTTTAAGCGTAACGAAATAAGAGCTTATTAATATGAATATAAGATGTAACCAAAAGTTCACGTTTCGTAAGGACCGTGGTTTATATTCCAGTGTCTGGTTGTGGAGAGGATACCGGACATGCCCAGCATTTTTAAGGATTTTCGGAAGTTTGATAAAAATTTTAACAAACGCCGGAAACATATTTAGCTCAAAACATTTGATTTTTTTTGTAGGGTTGGTTCAATTTTTATTTTTTATTTCTAACACCCACATTCAATTTTTGGAACTTTTGACAGTTCAACGCCCATCAATTTACAACCAGATATATTGTTGTTAAGTCGGATGTTCACGGAGAAATCATTCAGAACAAATCATAAAAGAAAAAAAATTTATTTATTTTATTTAAACATAAAATACAGTTTTACAGCAGTGTTCTTATTATAATCTTTCGGTACCATAATATTACAAGTTAGTTAGTCACTGGCACACCAGCAGTCGTCGAATTATCAACACCGCATTCATTCGTGCCTCGTCGAATTTTGAAAAGACCGTTGTCTCCCCACTGTGCGTTCCACGAGTTGACCATCAACCAATACGGAGTTCCGTCTTCTTCACCCCAACCGATCAATTTAACGGCATGTCCTCCCAAGTATGAAGCATTTTCCGATTTCATGTAAACGCCTTTAGAACGGGAAATGTCAGTTAGAAATACTATTATGGTTTTAAAAATAGAAGCTCAAAAACAGATCTTTTTGTAATATGTAATAATCGTTGGTGCTTATCGTTTACCAGACTTGTAACTGGGGAAATCGTCGTACACATCAAACGTTGCTTCGATTGGTCCGTAAGTCATGACGTCCTTTTGGATGCTGCCGTAAGTCAGGTAGTAGAAGTCACGTGCTATAATCGTAATTCAATCATATAGTTCAAACAAATACTTCGACTAAAAATCGTAAACATTTTCAAAATTTGTTCATACTATATCTGTGATCCTCGCGATAATCGAGATCCTGATTTCCATAACACATTCTCGTACATCTGTGATTTTTTTCCCTTGGCTTACCGGCGCACGTGTTTTTTCCTTTATCGTCTCGAGGGCACGGTGGAACTCGGTATGGCTCGCATCCCTGGAATACGTTTACACATTAAGCAACAATCGTTTTTTTTTTTTTTTAATTTATTTTTTAGCTTGAGTGCTTTTATGCTGGGAGGTGAAAACGATAAGTCAAATTTTGCTATAAAAAAGTTTGGTTTTATTTTTGAATTTACAGCGACTTATTTGTCCACTATTCGAGTGTTCTATCAATAAATTTTTCTTAAAAATCTTTCTTTGTTTGTAAAATTAAACTCAAATTCTCAATACATACTTTAAAACCTATTTATAAACTATGATTATACTCTGCAATGTATTATTAAATCCACAAAGCATATGGCATGTGCAATATGACCGTGCACATGTCATCTAACTATATATAGGTTAGTAGTGACTAATAATAATTGAACATAATTATTATTTATCACTATTATTATTGTGCAACATAATATTTATATATTTTGTTGAAATTTGTGATACAAGATTTTAGTATTTTGTTACATAGGCTGTTATGTCGTTGATTGGATACATATCGTATTTGGTTAGATTTTTCAATCCAATTTTAAATGGTCATACATTCATAAATCATAGTAAATAAAATTCTGTAATAACGCTCAGAGAATAAGAAAATAGGTAATATACCTAGGTATTTATTTCGATTTTTTTCCTACAAAAATATAGAAATTAATACCTCTCCAGATTTATAATTTCCTCCAGTGACTAAACCGTGTGTACTGAAATATTTCCAGGCTTTGATCGGGTCGCCTCCGTTACATCCAAATCCGCACGTGTGACAGCAAAACGTTATCTCTTCGGCGGACAGCAGTTCGTTGAAATCTCCGTCAGTGGCCACGCACAAACGATCGGCGAACGCTGAGCTGGTTCCAAATGCCTATAATCAGAATAACATGACGTTAAATCAATTTCACGATTTCGATACGACGACGCGTGCCCGCCGTTAATCGCACCCAGCAGGAACCGCAATGTCCTTGGTCCCGAACTTCTCCAATTGTCTTGCAATGTCTCCACTTCTTCCTGGCGTCGAATGTCCTCGGGGTATAGCCGTAAAGTTTGTTGTAAGCGACGTCGTCCATTTTAAACTCATTGGCACTCGCTTTCATGGCAGATTCTACCCCCGTAGATCCCAACAACTTAACGATGTCTTCCTGTGATGTATTCGGGTCAAAATTAACACCAGCCTAGAAATCGTAAATCGTTCGAAAGTCGATTAGCGTTGCTCCTGATTTTATAATCTCATTTTTTTTATATGATAATGCATGAAGTGCTGTATGTACTCATATATAATTTAATATTATAATACAATTTACATTTGATACATTTTGACTTCGATTGCTATTGTGCTCTTTTCCTAATTCTATACAGAAAATGTTTTAATGACCTCTTCCTCCTCCCCCGTCACATTTAGAATTTTT